GGCGCGACGCGACCGCGTGGACCGACCGTCTGCTTCCCTCCTCCCCCCTAGCACTACCTTGGCTGGCACGCCGGCGGTCTATGAAAGCAGCCATTTTCCTCAGCAGTGACCAGAAAATGTGAATATATTCTAGTGACAGATTTATGCCAATCAGGAATCGGAGCAGAAGCTGTGGACGCCAATGAGCACATCAATGAGTAGATTTTGTTGGAGAGTGGTATAGATGGTTGACATCCGCTTGATCCAACTATATCAATCTCCCCTCAACCCTTCAATTGTTACAAGACTGTTCATTAGTTCCAAATTTTTCCAAGGGAAACAGATTATACATTGGCGATGTCCCGCAGCTTGAACTGTATTTTTAAAAGTATGCTCAAATCCGGGCGACAGGGTAGTTTGCTAGGGCGTGCAACCGAAGACCCCTGTTTCAAATCATTTTGCTGATCAGCGACGGTTGAGAAGTCGAACACCATCGCAAGGGATCACCCTCACTCTCTACTTACAGTTAGAGCAGAATAGATGTTAATCATGCATCTAATTGTGCCTCAACTGTTCTACTACCTCTTGCTGACCAACTCCTCTGCTTCCGATGAACATACTGCATAGCTACAATGCAGTACGACTTCCATCACAACCTCACAGCCGTAGAGTTTCTGGTCAACTGGTTGATTATCCGTCTTTCAGATGCCCACTGCATTCAAACTCCATTCAGAATAACAGGAGCGTTCTAAATGCGTGACTTCAATGAAAAGCGGTGGCCAGCCAGAGTACGAGCCAGTGCTTTCATCTCCCTGAACTGGTTTACTCACAATTAAGCGGCCCTGAAGGAATGGACGGTTCTGTTGGCGTGGGCGTATATCGAACCAATTCTAACCGTGGGCAATTTGTGCGCGATAGTGGTCACTTGCCACCATACCACATATTTAGACTTTTTATATATTTACTTATTTATTCAATCATATTATATAGTAAGAGTGCGTCTTCCATGTAATTTAGTCAGAATGGCACAGCATCAGTTCAACTGAGAGCCAATGGTACGAAGTTTTTTCTCACGGAAAGATTCCATTTCTCCATATTATGTTGCTCAACAAGGTTGTATGTATAGACTGCACAGCTTTGCCCCATGTAGGAGAGCAGATTATTCTGATAAATATTTCCTTGCCAGAGCTTAATTTACTGCTTATTTTTTTGAACTGTGAGTAAAATTTACCAGTGTGCTCCGATATTATATACGGCAACGCCTTCATGGTAACCAGGATCCTGCTCGTACGTTTTCACGAATCACTTTGAGGAAAGTTTTTTTTTATGAAAAATTCCATTAATGTAGTGGCAAGTGGTGAACATCACACGTGCATGGTCCGGAGATCGAACCTCGGATCAACATTTGCCAAGGCAATCGAGCTTTCTATTCCTCGGAGTCAGTATTCGGTGCCAGACTCGTGGGGGAGGAAAAAAAGTAATGACTTGTACACTGGCATGACCGATTAATGGCAGGTTGTCTTTGTGTGGGCCATATACGCATTCAAAAGTCCACTACGATTTTGAGTGGAAGTCGAATGCAAGGCGCAACCCTCAAACGGGATTGACTAACGTCGAGAACTTTATTACTTTGAAATTTGATCTTTACGCAATTTTCAGAAAATCATTCTGCCACAACCATCGTATTTCGGATGGCTGGCCTCATATGTACTGGGCGCTGAAGAGAAAGAAATTTCGATGGTTATGAACTACATGATTACGCAAGTCCTATTTGTAAGTCCTTGTATCAACGAATTTGCTTCATTAATGTGGTCATTCGTTAAATAATCAATTCGTCTATTCAGGAAGAAGCTGAATTTATAGATCCACAAATGGCAAAAATTGCTGTCGAAGCGAATTATGTACCGTATGCCCAAAGACGAGGACGGGGACTTACCAGGCATGAACGCCACCGCCATTATGTACATGAACTACAAATTTGGATTCCATGATGAAAAAGTGAATTTCAGGATCGGTCGGCAATTTTCAAGAAGATTCGATAACGAAAATGATCGTACCATCCCATGTTTGGAACTTATAATGAAACATATGCCATATGGACCAGGTACTTTTAATTCTACTTACGGGTTTTAGTAATGGCTCCAGCACAATCAGTACATTTCATACCACCCTCGATTTCCGTATATTTCCTTCTGAACACAACTTTTACAGATACATTTTTTCATTCGTTTTATGTTTTTATGTGAAGAATAGAAAATCGGATAAAATAGAATATCCACTTGCACGAATTAGAAATATTATATTACCGAGGAGATCATACCATATATGCGCTCCATTGTGAATGGTGCAGCCTCTACTGCACCGTTAAAACGCGTCCACTTTTGGGAGTGGTATATAGTACAGACCATTTCTGAGCCTTTATTACGCCCTATCTGGCCGCATGTTGTTCGATACGACAACGACCCTTGGGCTTCCCTTGAGGCCAAAGATCCTTCCCTGGAAGTGAACCGATGCCAGTGAAGATTTGGAGGTCATCTCGTTACCGAATTCCCTCAATTCCGATTGTTCTCTCTAATTCATCAGTGGGAAAGTGTTTACGCTCACGCAGACTGACACCATTGAAGGCTCTCTGTCAAAGCACTGACCTCCGGCAAACTGTAAATTTCAATAAAAATTCATAAAAAAGGAAACGTCACATATTGGTACTCAGTAGAGTAACTTACCCAAGTGATGGTAACCGCCGATTGATTCAGGCTACGTTTATGCCAAATCGATACCGGACAGAGATGAAATCGCAATGCAGGTTAATCGGCAGGTGGATCTCATCATCAATGAATTTACGGTGAGAACTTTTAGCTTGTGATGAGTTGTTTCCTGGATGGGGTGCTACTACTCAGTAAAGAACTTTTTTGTGAAATTTGACTTTTCAGGAGATGCTCAAGTCGTTGAGTTGGGTGTCCACACGCTCCAAGATGAAGGCGCGAGATAAAGGTTTCCTTTTTTATCTGATAATAGAAACATCGGAGCCGGACGGCTAAAATTAGACGACTGCGCAGATAACTCTACCCTATAAATATTTATAGCATAGTCTATATCTATTTACAAACGGGGTTTACCTCAGTTCAAGGTGTGTTCTGTAGGAGATCGTAGCAATACTTGTCTGACTATGAATTTGAAAACTTGTATACGAGTATGGCCTAAATCTGGTACAAGTGGTTCTCCAATCTTATGGCAGCGGAGGCCTGGCCTTCGGTTTTCATTACAAGCAGCCGGAAGCATGTGTTAAATAGTGACCGAGGGCGTTTACCACCCTAATAAGTACAAAGACCTTTCTCATAGTGAAGGTAAGAAGCGGCGGAAGTGGTATAGTCATTATCACGCGTACGGCCCAAAAATCAGTCGTGGATTGGTACCCACCCAAACCAAACAGACCATCCATACTTAAGCGGTTGGCTTATTGGCATCAGAGCTAACTGTCTAGAAAGAATACTTTGACACTATCGGCTGGATCCTTTAGGTTATTGTATAGGCATCGAGCGATTTAGATGAACCATGGGTAGGGCGAGAAAGAGGAACAGGACAGTTGCTTGGCGAAATTCCAGAGTCCTTCCAAGGTCCTAGGGATGATTTTCGTTGTCACTCTTGCGACGCGTACATCCCATACCCTGCGCCGATCCCGAGTTGCACCCTCCAAAACTTAGGAGGTCCACCAGTGAGGATCACAAGGCTAAAAAGGAAACTAAATGAGGAAGTGATCGCTATATTATTGAAAAGCATCCATGCTTCATTCTGATGTATCAAACAGCATACCTTACAGCCCTGTAGTATGGCCCGCTAAGGAAATGAAAGTTGGTCAATCAACCTGAACATTTAGCGGGGTGATATTCAGGGCATACAACAGAGAATACATTCACTTGTGATCGAGCAAGGCAGAAAATTCCTACAGTACACTGGTTGTGATACGGACCTCTCAATTAATTCTATTGCTATCTTCTCATTGTGAGACTAATTGTAACACGAACATCCCTGGATCATGGAGAATGGGTCAATAGTTCAAACTGTTTCATGGTGAGGCTTTTCAAAATGCTTTCCTGTACAGCTTGAAAAGCACAGTTCAATGGTAAACCCTATAACGAGAGAAGCTCAATAGGCGCACCGCCTTTTTCGCTTGAATGTAAGCTTTCCTACATCAGGCATATTGGGTTACCAAGAAGACCATGAAAGTTGTCATTCCAATCCAATAAACCGCTATCATTACACATACCCTATCTCAGTTGTATCAGTTAGGCACAAAACCTTTGGGAAGAGTGTTGATACCCCCATTTTTAATTTTTTTTCCATGATAATCCAAACGAAATGGTCTCCAAGCCTATCTCTAGAAAGTTTAAGTAGAGGTATCTATTGAACTTTGATTTCAGCAGACAAAATGGTGAGAAATATCGGATGGCCAACAAAATTGTTTGGTGATTTCAAAAATAGCAGTGTCATAGATGCTTACCATCATGTGAGTTGAAAATTTTATACTAAGCCAAAAATTCATGGAAAAATAGATATTTACAGGACGACTATGAACCCATTTTGGGTCTGTTTAAGAAGAACAAAACTGATTTCTACCATATTAAGCATACCTTGCAATCAGGCTTTATAAACCGCGAGTTTGTTCGTTTACTCATTGAAGAAGGAGACAGGTATCATTTACTAGTTCTAGTGTATGAGCACTTTCTCCCCTGGAGCAAAGTTTCAGGACGCATTTTCTCGAATCACCAGCTTTCGTCAGTGCTTGGTATCAACCAGAAAGGAATTCGCTCACTCTTCCATGTTCTCTTTGGGTTCCGCCTTTTTACAAGTAATCTGTTCATTTAAAATATTTATTTGTTTATTGAATGCTTTTGTAAATGCGCTATCACAGAAACTCCATGGGTTAGGTCACATAATCATAGAAAATGGTGAACCAGATATACATCAGGATAGGCAACGTAGTATTGTAATAGTGTATGATGGTACCATTGAAAAAAGTGATGTCTACAGACCACTCAGCTGGAAGTCCTCTATGATTTTAGGCATAATTACGTCCGATCATTCGGTCAGGGGAGGATAACACGAGGAAGAACGTTAACCTAGATAAGGACGAGCTTCTAAGGAATCGGAAGCTGAGTTCTCAGATGTCAAGATCCCCTACCCCTAATAATTCAGGTTTCGAACCGCCAGAGAACATATTTGAGAACTTGAGCAGCTTTCTCAGCAGCGATGAAGTCTTGTATAAGCGTTTCATTGGTACGGTCGTAACAGCAGAAGTTGTTCACCTTAAAGACGAAACGAAGCCAACAAAAAACAAAGCAAAATTAAAAATAAACTGAGTTGGTAAATTCAGCGACAGTTTCTCATTTAGTAGACGAAGCCCTTTCCCATTAGTCCTATGTCCTATCTCTGTTGTATCAGTTAGGCACAGAACCTCTAGGAAGAGTTTTCAACGTCCTACTTTACTCTCTAACGGGTGTTCCTGGCGGCAGGCAAACTTTGATTTCCAATGAACTGGTACGACCTTGCACTATGGAAGTTGTTGCTTAGCAGTTTTGATAAGGATTGCCCTATACACACCGCCAAATGATGTATCTGTTGAGGGGTCCGTATTGCTGAAATTTCAAGATGAACACTTACTTTACGAATGTGCATATGTTGATGACGAGTTCAAAAGCATATGCCACTACACCGTAGTATTCCGAAAGAAGTTTTTTCCGTTCGCGAAGCTCCAAATGGAAAAAGGCGATTTAAGCTGATCACGATTTAATGAAGTGAACATACCCATCTCAAGCTCGAGAAATTTGCAATTCATTGAGTTTCTGTGGTTCTGGATAAGATATACTTATAAAAATCGCATTTGTACTCAAAGAACAATACCAGTCCAGTAAAATTTTTCAGCAAAACCTACCCGAAGGCATTCAACTTTGGAGGTCATGGAGCTGTTGTGGGCCACGAACTTGTGCATGGTTTTGACAATGAGGGTGAGTATCGTCAACATTCAACATTTCAATCAAGTACTGTAACTCTAGCATGCTGTTATTACACACAGACATCTCTTAACGTTTTCTAGGTGAGTATAGGGAAAGCGAAGCGGGGGTGCGGTCATATCTCTACGAAAAAGAAGGGAATGGTGTGCTATTTAAGGGCTTAAAGCTTGAAAATGTTTTCCATCTTTGCTAGTATTACTTCTAGTGAAAAAGGAATACAGGCTTTTTTCCCGAGTCTGTTGGTATGTATGAATGATATTCCAGCCACGCCAACTAGACCTATGTGGGTACCTGCATCATTCCTGGGATTGTCGGAACTCTCCAAAATTCCGGATTTTTTTTCTGGAATGTCCCCGGAATTTCCATAGAAATACTACTTAAGGACACGCACACTTGCATGAGCATGTACCTCGCTCCCGCCCCTCTACCTTGCTTATTAAAGGCATCCTATGAATGCTCAGTACTATGAAATCCCCTGGAATGTTATTCGCTTACACTTGCAATTACAGCTTCTTTACAGAATATGTTCAGTCAAACGATACTTCTTACGTTACAGGTGTACAGTTCGATAGTGAAGGAAAGCTCGCCTGTGATGGTGACAGATGGAATCAGTGCACTTGGATGGATAAGAAATCAAGGAAGGCCTTCACAGATATGTCTCAGTGTGTCATCACCCAATATAGGTGAGACGGTTTCTAAAAAAATATGCTAGCTAGCACTACGTACAGTCCTAGATACCCATTCTGATAGGAAAATGAAAAAAGTATAAAGCTTGGTCCATTTGTTACATACTCTGATACACATGCTTTCAATAAAAGCTGATAGGCTTCGGACAGCTGCCATCAAGAGTTGAAAGGTAGCGGGCGGCTGGCGGTGGCATTGTGCGTCGGCCGACATCCCACAATCGAGACATTCTCTTGCATCAAGTTTTTTATTTCTAAAAGTGCTCGAAATGCGTTTCTTCCCGCCTTCTATCAAGCTCAACTGGTGACAGCTTTTACGTTATAATTATGCAGATTTTATCGGGTATGGCTTTGATTTCCATGAGATTGCGGTTGGGAATTCGTAGAGTATGAACGCGAACGGCCAAATTCCTGCAGGTCATCATTAGCGCAACCCACCACCAAGCCGTTGTAAGCCTTTCAAAGTCAAGCTTTCCCTAGGAAGAAACGAGGTTCATGCCTTCTAATTGATAAGACATTCAGAACAATGTTTGACAACACTGGACACTTGTTCTATTCCTTCGCTTCAGATTCCTGAGGGAAGAATCATCAGTAGTCATGAGATTGCAACGTGTGCATCCCAGTAGTACAACCCATACGGTCTCTACAGCGCCGTGATTACTCGTCCGCATCTGGGTGTGTACGTCGGCTAAGTTTTGGGGCCTCCACTAAATCCTATCTGGCCGCCTTATGCTATCTTCGGGGGTCATGAGACCACCTAGGGAGGAATCTCAGAGAGCATTTTTTTTCGTGAACTGTGCCTTTAAGTATAGGACTAATTCGAAGCCATAAACAAGTCGCTGTCGCAGATCTCACGTATTTACAGTATGAAAACTCGCAAGGAAAGGAAGACGCGGGGTTGAAACTACTATTAGGTCGTGAAGAAAGTTCTTGCGGTTTTGCGCCTCAAACTTCAAATGCATATATCTCGGCTTGAACGAAACTTCATCAGTCGAAATAACAACCAT